GGCCGTCAGAGAGAGAGGGTGTGTCTCTCCCTCTCTCCTCTCCTGTGTTTACATATCTATAATTACCCTCCAAAAATCTTCCATACTCAAAATTATAGTCAGTGAACTACGTAAATATAATTTAATAGAAAAAGTGAACAATTATATATGATTGTTCTGTTAAGAACAGTATGTATTAAACTTTTGTTCTGCGGAAATCGGTGAAGAACTGGAAGAATAAAGAGTTTGGTGAACAGAGAACAGTGTTGAACACCATCCTTGGAGGAAGTTCTCTGAGGGAGTGTTGGTAGAACTGAAGAACATTTTGAGGGGGGATAGAACAACTGCACTCTAAAACCAAGGAAAGAACAAGAACACTAGCACCTGGACAAGCAGTAGAACACGAAGAACAAATATTAGAACAAGCTGAAGAGCAGTCATAACAGGCAGTAGAACAACAATAACAAGCAATAGATCAATAAAATCAAACAATAACAATAGAACAAGCAAAAGAACAGCAATATAACACAAATAACAAGCAACAGAATAATAACATGCAACAGAACATCAATAACAAGCAATATAACAAGAACAAAACACCAGAGTAGAGAACATCGACCAACAAGAACAGAAGAACACTCCCCTCCACACGGAGGAGAACAAGAACAGAAATGTTCTGGATTCTAAAAAGACCCAAATTCACGGCCAATTTCTTCAATAACATCATTAACAATAACATGTTATACAAAGGTGAGTCACATAGAACAATAACAGTGACTGTTCAGTCACATAGAACAATAACAGTGACTGTTCAGTCATATAGAACAATAACAGTGACTGTTCAGTCACATATAACAATAACAGTGACTGTTCAGTCACATAGAACAATAACAGTGACTGTTCAGTCACATAGAACAATAACAGTGACTGTTCAGTCACATAGAACAATAACAGTGACTGTTCAGTCACATAGAACAATAACAGTGACTGTTCATCACATAGAACAAAACAGTACTGTTCAGTCACATAGAACAAAACATGAAATGTTCGTCACATAGAACAATAACAGTGACTGTTCAGTCACTAGAAAAATAACATGACTGTTCAGTCACATAGAACAATAACATGACGTTCATCCATATAGAAGCACACAACACCAACACACAACACACTTTCACACAACACAACCACTACAACAACAACAAAACAACACACAACACACAACACACAACACCCACACTCCACAACACACAACACACTACCACAACCTACACAACACACAACACACTACACACAACACACAACACACACACACACTACACACAACCACACAACAACCACACACACCAACAACACACTACCAAACAAAAAACATCTACACACAAAAACAAACAACAACACACTACACAAACACACAAACACTACACCAAACCCCTACACACAAAACACAACACCTACACACAAACACACTACACACAACAACAACACACTACACACAAACCACTAAAACACAACACACAACCACTACACACAAAACCACACACAACAACAACCCCCTACACCAACACACCCACACACAACACACAACACACTATCACAACACACTACACACACACACCCAAAAACTACCACACAACACACTACACACAACACACAACACACTACACCACAACACCACCCTACACACAACACACTACACACTACACACAACACACTACCACCAACACACTACACCACCACAAAACACTACACACAACCATTTCCCCAAACACTACACACAACACACTACCACACCACACACACTACACACAACACACTACACACAACACCAACACACTACACACAACACACTACCACACCAACACACCACACAACACACTACACACAACACCAACACCTCAACAACACACTATACACACACACACACACTACACACTAACCAACACACTACACACAACACTACAACACACACACCCCACACACACAAACCAACAACACACAACACACTACACACAAACACTACAACCACAACACACTACACACAACACCAACCCTACACACAACACACACACCACACTACACCAAAACACAAAACACACACACAAACACACACACACAACACTACACACAAACCAAAAACACACTACACACAACACACTCACACAAAACACAACACACCACACACAACACACACACACACACACAACACACAACCACTACACCAACACACAAAACACTACACACAACACACTACAAAACAACACACAAAACACAACACACTACACACCACACAACACACTACACACAACACACACACACAACACACTACACACAACACCCACACACAACACACTACACACAACACCACACACAACCACAACACACTACACACAACACACACACACTACACACAACACACACACCAACACAACACCACACACAACACCAACACACAACACACTACACACAACACTACACACACACACTACACACACACACAACACACTACCCCAAAAACCAACACACACACACACACACACAACACACTACACACAACACAACACACAACACACAACACACTACACACAACACACACCACACAACACACAACACACTCACAACACAACACACACACACCAACACTACACAAACAACCCCCACTACACACAACACACAACACACAACACACTACCACAACACACAACACACTACAACACAACACACTACACACAACACACAACACATACACACAACACACTACACACAACACACAACACACAACACACAACAACACACCCACACAACACACAACACACAACACAACACACAACCACACTCACACAACACACTACGCACAACCACCACAACCACCACACACACACTACACAAACAACACACAACACCTACCACCACAACACACAACACCACACAAACTACACACAACACACTACAACACAACACACTACACACAACACCACCACAACACACAACCAAAAAACCCCACACAACACACAACACACAACACCTACACACAACACACAACACACTACACAACACACTACACACAACACACAACACACACACACACACACACACACAAAACAACACCTACACACAACAACACACACACTACACCAACACACTACACCCAACACACTCACACAACACACAACACACACACTCACACAACCCCACACACACACACAAACACAACACACACAACACCACAACACACACCACAACACACCTACACACAACACACAAAACACACACAAAAACACACAACACCACACACACAACTACCTACCAACAAACCCCACAAACACTACAACACACACACAAACACAAACAAAACAATCACACTACACACAAACATCAACACACACAACACACACCATACCAACAAACCCACACACTACACACAACACACTAAACACAAACACACTAACACAACAACACCTACACACAAACACAACAACAAATAACACCAAAACAATCACCAACCCCATCACACACAACACATCACACTTAAAAAACACAACCAACTACACAACAACACAACACAAACACACTACACACAAATCTCCTACACCCACAAACACACAACACACACACACTACACACACACACTACACCAACACACTACACACAAAACCACCCCAAATCCACACACACACAACACACATACACACACACCCACAACAACAAACACAACACACACCACAACACATAAACACAACAACAACACACACACCTACCACTAACACACACACACACACACAACACACTACACACAAACCCCCAAACCACAACCACACTACACACAACACACCCACTACACACACACACAACAAACAACAAACACCCAAAACACACCAACACACAACACACTCACACAACACAACACAAACAACACACAAACACTACACACACACACAACACACAACACACACACCACACACACACAAACACACACACTAACCACACACACACACACCCAACACACTACACACTACACACACACACTCACAACACACACACATTACACACTACACACACACACTACCCACAACAACACACTACACACTACAAAACACACACACAACACCAACACAACAACACTACAAACCCAACACTACACACTACACACTACAACAACCACCACAACACACTACACACACACACTAAACACACCCACTACCACAACCAAAAACTACACACCAACAACAAAACAACACACACACACACCACAACACACTACACACACACTACAACACTCCACTACAAAACCACTACACACTAACACACACACAAAAACACACCCACAACACCAACACACACCAACACACACACTAAAACACAACACACTACCACAAAACACTACACACTACCAACACTACACACTACACACACACACACACACTACACACTACACACAACTACGACAACCCTCAACACTACAACACTACACAACACACACTACAACCACCCACTACACACTACCACTACACCTACACACAACACACTTACACACCAACACACACACACTACACACAACACCACACACAACACACTACACACTAACACAACACACACACACACACTACACACAACACACTACACACTACACACTACAAAACCAACAACACCACCACTACACACTAACACTACAAACCACAACACCACTACACACAACACACAAAAACATACACAAACACCACTACACCACAACACACACATACACATAAACAACACACAAAACCACACACACCACACCCAACAACACACTATACACACACCACACAACACACTCACATCACACAGCACACAACACACACACCAACACACTACACACCACAACAACAACCACACTACACACTACACCACAACTACCACAACACAACACACTACACACAACACCTACCACCACACTACACACACACACAACACACACACACTACAAACCCAACACACAACACACTACACAACACCTACACACAACACATCACACCTACACACTACACACACACACAACACACTACACACAACACACACACACTACCCAAAAACCCACACACTACACACACACACTACACACACAACTTACCACACTACACACTACACACAACACACACCACACACACAACTACACACCACACACAACACACTACACAACCACACACTCAACACACTACAACACACCTACACACTACAACACACACACACACTACACATCCCCACCACAAACTACACACACACCAACCTCCACCACAACACCTAACACTACACCACAAAACTACACACTACCCAAAAAACCCACACTACACACAACACACAACCACACACCAACACAACACACCACACACTACACACACACCAACACACTACACACACCACAAAACACTACAAAACCAACACTACACCAAATACACACTACACACAACACACTACACACAACACACAACACACTACACACAACCAAAACCCCACTAACACACACAACACACTACACCTACACCTACACACTACACACAACACACTAAAACACAACACACTACAACTACACACTACAACAACACACAACACACTACACACTACACACCCACACACTACCACTACACACAACACACCACAACACCCCACCAACAACACACTACACACTAACACTAACATCCACTACCACACACCTACACACACACACAACACCCTACACACTTCCACACAAAACAACCACAACCACACCTACACAA